ATGTGCATAACTATTTTTTTTTTACTGCGAGTGACTTGCATAAAACTATTTGCATTGATTTAATAAATATTTTAAAAGCTCTTAATATTCTATTGAATAGTATTACCCTAAGATTAATTAACTATTACGTAAATCAGTTAACATATTGTATAAACATACAACACAAAATAAATGATATACTAATTGAATTGTACCAGTATCATTTCATAATATTTTCAATAAATAAGAGCTTGGAAAACCATTAGTACTTTGTGTGGTTCACTACATTAAAAATAATATATAATGAAAGAAATGATTTTTTAAGAAAGATATATATGCGTTTTATATGTTTAAATTAATTTTAATAGAATGTTCTCACCATGCCTAAAAACACACTAGCACATGCGTTTACTGATTCAGCAGGTGTCGTACCAAGTAATTTTTGTAAAACCCAACCGAGCCTTAAGACGACAACTTGGATAATACCATAATAAAATAAAATTTCAATAACAAAACACATGAAAAATATCACCGATAATACCTAGAATAAAAATTAAAAATATAAAATATTATGATCATTAAAAATATAAGTCTATGCAAAATATCTACTTTAAATGCAAACACTGCAAAAACTTTGATTAGTTCTTCTCCATAAGTGACTTCTGCGCCTATGTAAGCATAAGAAAAAAAATTGTCAACTAAACGGCCTACAACTTGAATAACATATTTTCCTGATGACCATCTTATTGTTAAAAGGCCAATGGCAATTTGCAGAGCAAGGCCAGAAACCACTGTGTTCCAATTGACATGACTTGGATGTTTTGATAATGCATATCCGGCTGCGATGAATGAACATATGCCAAATATGGGCAAAAGTCTTTGTCGATTATTTTGTGTATCAATAGCTATGTACACAAAAAAACAAGCGAAAAATATACCAAGAGTAATTGATCTAAAAAAATATATAAATACATTTGTGTTATTAACCTCATTGAATAATTTTCAAAACTGAAATTCTATTCATAATAATAATCATGTATCATATTTTTGTAGGACTTTTTCACTACTTCGTATTTCAATTAATTATTTATCTTACAAATATATTGTAATTAAAGTTCAATATTTTGAAAAACGATGATTAGATATAAGTTTATATAAAATGGAATAGATAAGTTAATTTGTGTTTACTCAATGATACTTTATAATTTATTAAAATAACATTTAATTGAAATATTTTTCTAATTTAAGTTAATTTTTAATAATTAAATTAATCAATCGATTAATTAATATTTGTTAGAAATTGCGAGCTATTTAAAAATCTAAAAAATCAACACATTTTTAAGATAATAAAAGATTTGCTGACGATAATTAAATTTGCAATATAAAAATCACATTAATTTGCACATTTAATTGAACTTTGTGTAATAAAAGGAAATGTATTTGGTACCTTGTATGTTGTAATATTGTAAATTGGTTTAAGTAGGTGAAGTCACACTTAACATATTTTATAATGAATTTTAGAAACTTATAACCATAATACAATGACGATATAATCAATAGTAAACCTAATCCATTTTCCCAATCAATATCATGTGCGCCTGTTTACAGTAAAAATAATTTATTGTTTTAAATTTTTTTTTTAAACATATGCTTACCTGTTGTGTACCAATGACTTATAGCCGCCGCAATATAAATTATAGCTAAAGTATGAAATAATAACGCCAAAGTAAAACTGTTATTAGTTTTACTTATATTAAATTTGGATAAACACTGCTTAGCTTTTTTTCTTTTCACGGGTTCGTTATTTGGTTGTGCATTCTAAAAGACGGGTAATGATAAATTAATTAGGATCAAAAAATAGTAGTAATATTTAAAAGTTATTCAAGTTCTTTTCTTTTTTTTTTATAATTGTACAAAGTTGAATTATGATAAATTTTGTTTTCTCTAAATTAATTTATTTAAAACTATCAATAGAGATTTTAAAAGTGACAGTACAATTTAAACAGTTAGATTTACAAAAATAAACTTTAAAAAGTGTCAAATTAAAGCAAACAAATTTACCATGTGAAAAAGTTATATAGTAATTGTGTTCAATTTATAAATTATTATAATATTATATATATAATATTATTATTAAATAAAGTGAAATTCGTTTGATATTAAAAAAAAGAATTATGTACTCACAAGCGTATTTAGATTTATAGAAATGCTTTGAGTTGTGCCATTACTAAATTCTTCAGCTGATTTGTCATTTTCCATAGTTACTGACATTGGTATTAAGTTAAAAGTCAATGATATCAATAAGCCGAAAAATCAGTTCAGTCTAACAGCAATGAGTATGACAAACATAAAAATGAAGGTCAGCAACTTTTTTGAGAGTCATAAAATAACTGTCATTAATTTTGATTTGATAATTTGTTTTTTAAATAAATAATGCTGTGATCATTTTTGTAAAAATCACGGAGAAAAGTTAAACTGGCACTAAATTGTTCATATTATCACAGTATTATACTTTTGTTACTATTATATGAGTGTTAACATTGAAATATAATTAGTGTTAGACAAATACTTCAAGTTACACAAGATTCGATTGTAATGATAATGCAGGTACTGCAAAAAATATATTTCAAGTACATATATTAGGAATTATAGAATATCTATTAGTAGTTAAATTTTACACTTACTTCAAAGCAATTATTTAAATGTTGGTGAGAATTTGTTTATTCTGTCAAAAAAATGATATTTATAAAAAAATGTTTATTTAAACACAACATCAACAGTAGTCGTAGTTCTTGTGTTAAAATGATTAATGTCAACCTGAAAACATTAATTTTAGTTAAGCAAATGAAAAAATATTGATGAGTTTATGACACAAATTTTTAAATATGTATTTCTTATTAATTATATATTGTTAATAAGAGTGTATACAAATAAGTTAGTTTTAGTAAGTTAATATAAAAATTTCATTTACTATTGTAAAAGTCTGTGATATAGTTAAGGACTTTGTATTTTTTAAATGTTGAATGACTTTTTTTATGACTAAAATAAAAAAAAAAGAATCTATTCATTTTTTTAAAAACTGTTTTTAATAGTGTAGTTTTATAGTAAATATTTATTTGATCAAAAAGTAAAATAGAATTGTAATTTTTTTTCAATTTCTATGTAGTCTTTTAATTTAGCTGGAAATTAGCTCATTTGCATCGTGTTACTCGAAAGTTTGGACCTTACTTTTAATGCAATAAAATAAAAAAAGTATTCTCATTAAAATTAATACATCAAAAATAATAATAATAACATTGAAATTTAAAATAAACTGTTGCTAATAAAAAACGTAGAAATTACTAATTAAAAATGTTATGAGTTTATACATATTTGTATTTTTTTTTTAAATACGTTTAGCTCTTTCTTTTTTAACTTAATTTTTGGTTTTGAAAAACTCTTTCTAACAAAATAATATAAGCTTAGAGCTAGTTAAAAAAAAAACTTGCACAGTGGTGATGTGGCATAGTTAGTTCAAGTATAATATCTAACATTGATTAAAATCGCTATCATAAAAAACGCTTCGATGCAAATCTGTAGATAGTGTTTAATTTTAAAAAAATGGTGGATTATTCCAAAAGTTATATGATTTACTATTTTATTATTTATATTCTGATTACAAGTTTTATGACTTGTAAGTGTAATATATGAATAAATATATAAATATAGAAAGGGAAATGGTTTTATTAAAAAAAAAAGTATGTCGAATGAAAGAGGTATATAAATAGATAATTTATCATAAAAAAATTGTATTGATCTATATATTTTTAAAAAAGTTATAGAGTTATAAAGTTCAAAATATAAAAAAGAATTCTTTTACAAAAATCGTATTTTTTTTTATTAACTTTGATATCTGTTTTCATCATGAAGACAAAACAAAGTCAGAAATTGTTTTCCATAATAAAGTATATTACATTAGCTTTAATTTAAGATATATATAAAAGTGTTAGACTATCCGGAACACTTTCAAAAGTTAATTTGAAAAAGTTAATTTTTTGTGATAAAGTTGTCATTTTAAATCCTCACCTGTGGGCAGATTTATAAAAAAATATATACCAAATGATAGGTAAAGACATCAAGCATCATTAAAAAAATTATATTGATTTGTTTACTTTTGAAAAAGTTATGGCAGTATTAAGTAAAAAAATTGAAAAAATGTCAAAAATTAACAATTTTTAAATTTGTAATTTTTTTGGAGATTTTCCCCATTTACGGGAAACGAGGGAAATTTTTGAGAGTAATGTCTTCGACTAGATACGATTTGTGATCTTTTGACGTATTGTTGAAAGAAATCGGTTCGGTGAGAGCTGAGAAAAAGTGGTAACACACACAAAAAAAAAACACATCAAAGTAAAATTACTACCTTCTCAGCTTCGCATTGNCACACAAAAAAAAAACACATCAAAGTAAAATTACTACCTTCTCAGCTTCGCATTGAAGCTAAAATTAAGCAATAATGTTTTTTTAAGAAATAAATAAAATTGTTGGTTATGTTCAAGTTTATGTACAAATAATATTACAATATTTATACTCTTAGTTCATTGAAATCATTGTAATCGCTAAATTAAAGATTTAAAATGAAAGCGAATTATTCGTTAAGAGATGTTATTGTTTTTACTCTAATTTTTTGTAAACACAATGATAGGGATATTGGAAAAATGGGCAAACCGGTTTCTGACCAGCGTGTAAAAAATTATCAAAGATGTGTCATGAAATTTTTCTTGGAAATTTCTCTATGAATAATCATACAATTTGTTTTTAGTTACATGAATATTTTTCAACATAAATTACTAAAACAAGTTGTTATATTTGAATTTTAACTCTCTATGTTGAGAAATCATAAAATATTGTGAATGAAAG